AATGACGTCGGCAATGTAGTTTAGCACTCGCTGGATAGCTGACCCCGGAGCGCTGACGAATTTGGAAGCCTTCCTCCAACAGAGATCGAAGCAGGAGCCTGATATCTCTATGGCTTTCTTCTTCACCCCGAACTTGAAGGTTCGATCTTGAACCTCATCTCGATGTTTGAGGTGCTGTCTATCCTCACCTCTGGATCATCGACCAATTCTCCAAAGGGGCTAACTCGCAGTTCAGCTCGGACTTCCCTTACCACGTCCTCGGAAGAATTGGTCTTGCGCTTCTTGTTCTTCGACTTCTTGTGAGAGGCCCTTCTCCGAACCGCTAAGGGGAGAGACGTCAAGGATCTCATGATCCTGAGAGGCACCAGCCACCGTCGCCCCCTCTGGAATAGCCGCTTAACGCTTTACCTCAACCACCTCGACTTCGGTAGGAGAGTCGATTAGAATAGGAATTGGAGCTTCCTTTGACTTGGAAGTTTGACCCGCACGAGGATAATTGTGCCTAACATCTTGAGAGAAGCCACACACCATGGCTGCGAAGAAAACAACGTGAACAGAAAGAAAGTGGGAAAAGCGTCAAAAATTAAGTACAAACTGCTCACGGGCAACCAACCTAGTTCCGAGTTCATTCTCCGAGCTTTGGGAGGGGCAAAAAGAGGGTTGTAGTCGAGCAATCTGGAGGCAAAGAGGAGCTTGCCATTATAAGCGTGTTGATCTGCTTGTCACTTTTAAACTTGTTCTTGAAAAATTTCAGAACGTTGAAGGTCGGCTCGGAAAGCTGAATGATCGACGTTATAGCAACTAAGGGCAAAGAAACCACGGGTCAGAGCACAAAGAGAAATAATTAAATGCAAATAAAGACTCTACTCCTTACCTAAGTTCCCAAACCTATAGGGAATGTTGTGGAAGGGCTGGTTGGATTCGTTCTTGGCTAGCCACGCTCCGGAGGCCAAAAATCACTTTCCAACCAACTTCTTTATAGAGGTCGGACCTTTGAGGATACCTCCTTCGCCCTTCCTAGCAGAAAGATAATATCGCTCCGGCTTCCTAAAAATTCGTTTAACTTTGAAGCAAGCTAGGAGCTAGTCAACCCTAAGGAGGTCTAACTCATCTACCTCCCTATATCTTAGCAAAAATAACATGGCTAAGCTGAAAAGCACACCCCATCCATTTGCAGCCACCTGAGCAGAAGCTAGCCCAGTCCGAGTAAGGAACTCCTGCACAAGAGGATGAATAGGTAGACGAAAGCCATACTCGAACATCTTCAAGTACAGAGTAACGCACCCATCTGGGAGGTGTCAGCATGCTCATCTTCCTTTGGGAGCCTAAGGATGATATCATCCGATATACGATACCTCCTATGAATGAGGCCAAGGTAGTTCTCCAGCATTTTGAAAGGATATTCTAAACCCTGGCCCGAGGTGGAGGTGTCACTATCATCCCCATCATCCTCGGAGAACCTAAAATTATTTATCTCTTCCTCCAGTTCGGAGTCTAGCCTACACGCAAACTCATCTACTGAATCGGTCTTCTTGGGTGAAGAATTCCGACTCCGAGCTACGCTACTAGAAGAACTATCCCTAGACGAACTTAGTGACCTGGAAGACGCCAACATGACTTGAAAGTTGAAAAACGAAATAAAAGGCAAGGGAACGAGATTGACCTATAATAAGATTCCGATCTGCACAGGTCGGACACCAAGATTTCAGAAAGCGTAAAGAACGGGAATGAAGCCTTGGGGTTATTTACGGTATCCCAAAATTTAATCTCGATCATACGCATGATCGAAAAATGACGATCTAGATTGGAAGAAGACCAAACGTCAGAGGTGAAGGGATGTGAATCCCGAAGCGGAAGCGGACCGTTGTTCGTGATATTTTGGAAACAAAATCAATATGCAAAGAAGAAAAACACAGGGGAAAAGCATACCTTTGAAGAACTTTTCTACAACGAATTCCCCTCGAACACCACCACCGAGTCTTCCTCGCTATCCTCTTAGGTCTCGAGACCATGCTTGTGGGAGCACCTTGTTTGGAATGAGAAGGAGTATTGAGAGAGAGCTTGAGAGAGATTGGGTGGGAGTTCTTTCTTTTTCTCTGTTCTGTTACTATTGTAGAACTCTTCTGCAATCCAAAAAGAAAGAAGAATGACGTGCAAATTTGCAAGGGAATTTAATAATATATAATTAATATATATATTGCAAGGGAGTTTAATAATATTAATAATATATAATTAATATATATATATATATATATATATATAAATAATTAATCATATTAATTAATAAATATTAATTAATTATTAATCTAATGAATAATTAATTAACATATATATATATATCAAATAATTAACACTTAATTATTTATTATATAAATAGAATCATATTCTATAGCATTTCTCTCGTATAACCTATACTTTTAATGTATATCTTATGCACATTATTTTTAACCTATAGTTTTAATATGAATCTTATTCATATTAATTTTATTTGAATCTCATTCAAATAATTTCTCTCATAATATATAGTTTTAATTTATAATTAACTATATATTATAATGTATCAATATACATATAAACCCTTAAGTAATTTGAACAATTCAAATTCTTCCAAAAACTTGATCCTCGTTTTACCCGTTATGAGCTAGCAAGGGGACCTAATGGACCTACAGAT